AACAAATAAACAAACCGGCGGTTTTACTGGACCTGCAACACAAACAAAAAGCATCAGCATTAGGTTTACTTTAAACGCCATAGAATAAAGACTGTATTTACATTGGCGTAGATGACTAAGGAGAGTTCGGTACCTGGAACTGACACACTGTGAACCTCAAACACAGCTGTCTCCTCCTTCAGATACAAATCCCGCCTTTGTATAAGAGGGTAAAACGGCCCAATTTCAAAATCCTAAACTGTTGTGTAACAGTCTGGACTCATTAATATTCATAACCCCAAAATTTACATACCCAGCCCACATTCCAGCCCACCAAACAACGACCACAGAGCAGCAGCAATGAAAATGTCAGACTGAGTGCAGAAATGCAGCTCCAGGCTGTGAAGGAACGTCGGCTCTTCTCATTCCCTTCACAAGAACCGAACCGTCAGCGGCTGATCATCATCTTTAATCCAGGCTGAGGAGCTTCCTGTTCAGCTTCTTAATCAAATGTTCCACCTTAAATGCTGCAGCTTGTGCAGAATATAACTGCAGCACCACATCTCTAACAGGATCCCGACAGCTTTAACTCAGAGCTGTTAGCTTCTCTGCACATTTCACTCCGGACAGTTTCTCAAAGCTCGGACAACATTGAGCAGCTTCGCTCAGCGTTTGACCCTGAAGAGACGCAGCTCCACCTTTATTAGCACCACAACCCCAACAGCAGCCTGTAAGCAGCCCTGCTGAGAGACTTTATCAGCTTTCTGATGAAGCTGATCATCTTAAACTGAGAGCCTCATAGTAAAATAACAGCTTTAATTCACTTTCTGTTGGTGTCGAGATGCTCCAAGTAACTAGCATAGCTAACTAAACAGTATGAGGACCAGCTGATTTACACAGCGGGTCATTTTATTTTCCTGCCTGCGTTTATTTCTACATGTTCTTCTCTGTGAGCTGTCGCTGTGCCTCACTGCAAACCAGCCAATCAGAGCAGAGCTCATCAGATTAGGCTGTAAATGGGCGTTTAAAACCACATCTGGGCATTTTTCACCCTGAACAAAGTCACCAACCTTCTATACAGACATCAGAAAACAATTAAAATACTGAATAAATACATAATACAGCACCTTTCCACATGGAGAATAGCGAAGCACACGTTATATTCAGTTATACTTTCAAGTGTTCTGAATGATTCGCTGACAGTAGAAAACTGCAATAACATCACAATACAATAACTTTTTAAATGACATATAACAAGCTAGTTCAGTGTGTGAGATGTGAACAGAGAGATTGAGTGGTTTGGTGTGAAATGGTTCAGATGTCTTTACAGTGGTGGTGATAGGAACCAGGGGTCGCCATGACTACAACACAGATATAGACATTTTATTTACTATCCAGAACCACCAGTGAACCTACACGAGTCTTCTGAGTTTATATGGAATGTTGATGATGGAAAATAGTGAAAAATCTGAAATAATACGTTTTCTTTGGGGACTATTTTGCCTCACAGTGCCCTGCATGTATCCCTCCACCATGAATGGAGTTTAGGTTCTCTAAACTATCATAAAACAGTGTCTCAGTCATCAGGCAGTGAATTCATAACCATTTCACGTAGGAACTTTCTGTGAGGGAGCTTTTAGAGGTGGACGTCTAGTTCCTATCACCACCACTGTGAACAGTTCTGACTCTGTAAGTTTATCTAGAACAGAGCGTTTCACACCAAACCACTCTGAACCCCTCTGAACGACTCTGTTTACATCTGAACCATTTAATTTTGCAGTAAATCCTGTATTATTCTCCCTCATAACAGCAGGTAAAAGTCTGCTGACCTGAAAGTGACTCAGCAGCTCTGATCAGATTACTGCACTGTTACTGTTCGGCTTTATTACATGCAGTGGCTTCATCTTCATTACCAAATAGATAATGACTGAAATCCCATTCAACACTATTAAAAATAATGTCCAAAAAAATATATCTACATATATTTTACGCGTGTTTACATACAGCTGCACTACATCTAACCAACGTTCACTATTTACTTTATTGACATACCAAATTCGCAGGCCTATAAAATGTATATATACATATATAACACGTATATCATGTATGTGTATAACCATTAAGAATATTTTATTTTAAATAATATCCAAAAGTACATAAAAAGCTCCCCTTCAAGACACGTCACTCAGCACCGCCTCTTTCCTCCTCTCTGATTGGACAAGCGCTACTACCCTCGACGCCGATTGGACAGACGGAGCGTCAATCACGGAGCAGAGCTGATTTTGGGTTTACGACGAAAACAAAAACACTTTTAAGCTGATTAAAGTACTAAATATTACCCAAAATTATGTTTTTATTATCTGTACAATCGACACACGTTAACAGAAAACACGAGGAGGAAGTTAAGATTGCTATTCACCAGCTTCGCGTCCGAATTTTCCCGTTCCACCTTAAATGGTGCTGCAGTTACATTATGGCGCCTGAGGCGCCATAATGTAACTGCAGCACCATTTAAGGTGGAACGGAAAATTGGAACGAGAAGCCGGCGAACACGAATCCGACTTCAGCCTCGTCAAGCTGCAGAAATGCCGTCTAAATAAACCCAGACAGGTGAGTTTATCAGCTGTGGTTCATCTGAGGAGACTCACCTGGACTGGACAGCAGTACAAGCACCGGAGCAACACCGCGCGAGCTGTTCTGACCGCTGTGCAAGAGACCTATTCACTCAGAAGTGGGTCAAACAGTGAAGCGGAATGTGGGTCAAATCGCACCGCCTAGCGTTCAGCTGCAGTACTGCAGGACAGCGCTCACTGCATGAGGCCTAAAGGCATTTATATCAAACAAATCCACCAAAAAAAGACCTACAAACTGAAACAAAAGAAGTTTTTTAGACGCTGCAGTTTCAGTTACATATTGCTCTTATCAAACTCCATATATTTAAGCTCGAAAAACACTTTTTTTAGCAGATTTTTGGCCTCTTAAACACAGTGGGGAATGCTGTGCAGTTCTGATGGAATGAGTTTTGGTCACTGTTCTGATTATGCAGATCAGATGTTTAGGCCTCCATAAGCCTCCAGATCATTCAATGTTTATCAGAACTTTGTCTTCACTGCTCTATAGGAGGTCAAAGATCAGGTCTGAGTTAATGTATGGGTGGCGAGTCACGTTTCTGGCTGGACTCCTAATCTGTCTTTAGGCACAGTGAGCTGTTACTGTTCTACAGATTATACAGCCTCACTGAAACACTGTCACTGTTACACTGTTATCCTGCACTGATCTTCATCAGTCCCACTGTCTTATTCTCTTTATTTATTTATTTGTTTATTTATTTTCTCTCTTCTCTTTTACTCTTATTCTGATTGTAATTCTGAGTGTAATTCTGATTCTGGATCTAAGTCTATTTCTGGTTTAATTCTGATTCTGATTGTCAGGTGCATGTACAAAAAACTATAAACCAAAGCACAACAAAGTGAAATAATCGTTGAAGCGTGTTAAACACTTCACCTTTTCTGAGAACAACCAGGAGCAGACTCAGAGACTCCTACCTGATCAGCTAATCACGTCTGGATCTAAAATGTTTGAAATAAAGAAATGTATGTCACAGATTATAAAAGCTTCAGTGTAATCTCTAACTAAATAACAAAGCTGACCCATTCACTGAAGGGTTTTGGTTTTTCGGGAGAAACTAATATCAAAGCATGTCGGGGCTCCATGTTCCATGGCATTATTATTTCAGTTGGACAGTTTCTTAAAGGTTTGTATGTAACTGTAAACTCTTAAATCTGTTTTGTGATATTAAAAGTCCCCTCAAGGACATTATAATTCTCCCTGGAGGAATCATGGAATGTCCTGCTGCAGCACTAAATATTTCTAAACGTGTCGATAAATGATATAATACACGTGTTAAAATATCACATTTTACCCTGACACTGTCATGTTTGTATTGTAAAGACGTTTCGCGTTGATTTTCTTCCATTAGTTCTTAAGTAGTATTGATTAATGAAGCTGCAAAACAGCACATCACCAGCAGATGGCGCTGAATTTGTGATCTTTCACAGAATTATTCTTACATAAGCCATCATAATTATATTAGTAATTATAAGTTATAATTACTGATATCAGACAGCGTTTTATTTATTTGTTATTGTTGTACTTTTAAGACATTCTAAAACACAATTAATTTAAAATATACAAAGATAGATTGGATTAATGTTTCTGTGTGTATGGAATCTAATTTACCAGCAAAAAATCACCTACACGCTTAAATAGATGCTTCTTCAAGGGCTCTTTAGTAAAGGGTATGGTTCTATTTAGAACCAGGAGTTCTATATAGAACCATTTCATGCTAAAATGGTTCTTTGCATGGTGAAATAGTTCTTCAGGAGAATGGAGAATGTGCTGTATATGGTTCTACATAGCACCGAAAATGATTTTGCCATTGTTACAAGCTCAACATCATAACAATACCAGAACCTGTTTCGGTGCTATATGGAACCCTTTTCAAAAAGGTTCTATATAGTATCATTTACAACATGTTCTCCATCAATCTGAAGAACCATTTCACCTTGCATTTCACTCATCCTCCCCTCTTGCTATAATAGTGAGTGTCATTTTTATAGATCAGTCAGCCCCGCATTATATCATATTTGTGTGTATTTACTTTTTAAATAAATCCTCCTGAGGTAATTCACAATAAAGAGCTGTGCTAGTTAACTGGTGCTAAAATGTTTTATTGAGGAATACATAAAAGATGATTGTAGTTTAGCTGTTTAATGCTAACACAAATACTGCTACTTATTATTATTATTATTATTATTATACTATTTTTGGGGCACTTTTCAATTAGGTCTAATCTCTTCTTCTGCTTGCTTCTGCAGAACAGGTGATAAAGTTCAGAAACTGCAATAAAAGAAATTGAAGCTGAATAAAGTAAAGAGTAGTAATTAATCAATAACACAGACAAAGTAAAAAATAGCGAAAGGTGAAAGCTAACTGCTTTCAGATGCTTATTAACTGTTTTCAGGTGTTTATTAACTGTTTTCAGACGTTTATTAAAAGCATGTACCAAATCTGACTGCCTAAAAAAGAAGGAATTGAACTCCACAGGTTTATTTATTTATTAAAATAACTAAAAACCCATAAATGTTTTTTGCTAATTTGCTTGCTAAGCTTTATAGCATTAGCTAGCATTAGCGTACAGATGCACTTTAATTTAAAGATTTAATTAAATAAAAAAGAGTTTAATCACGGATGAAGACAAATGTGTTTTAATATGCATCACAGAAGATTAAATAATGATGAAAACATAAAAGGTAACTTTAGAAGAAGAACAACTTGACAAGATGCTAAACAAGTTGCTAAGATGCTAAACGGAGTTTTGTTTTCCTCTCAGTGAAGCGGAACTGTCTCCATAGTGATGGGGAGTCGATTCCAAAAGAATCGATTCATCGACTCCAACACGTCTTGTAGCTCCTGATCAATGACTGTAAGAGTCGAAACACATGGAGTCGACTCCTCGGCTCCAGGGACATTTTGGCGGAGGAGTTTGTGAAGCAAGTGTGAGTTTGTTTAATTACAGGTGTAAACAGTCCGAACGCTGCTCACAGAACCGTATTCGACCCGTCCTGCACCGCTTTATGTTCTTCATGACCTGAGCTTCAATAAACAATGATTAGAATCGGTACCAGGAACCAAAACCAAAACCAAAACCAATGTTTTTTCACAGAACGTTGTGGAAAAGGGGAGGAAGCTGAGTTTTGCTTCCTTTTGCCAGTTTATTCTTCAAATTTCTGCACCACCTTAAATGGCGCTCCAGATATATTCTTTAAGGTATCCGCTGCACCACTTAAGGTGGACCGGAAATGTGGAATAAGAAAGTGGTGGTCAACTTCAGCCTCGTGAAAAGAGGAACGAAATAAACATTCAACCATTTCTTTTTCGAAGAATAAAGAATTTGTAGAAATGATTCCTTTTCAAAGAATTCTGACGACAAAGTTCCTCCTCGCTGTGTGAAATAAGCTGAATTGATCACATCGCTATAACCTGTAGATAATCTAAAAACTGTGTAAACTGCGTTTGGGATGCTTTAATGTCTGCTATGCACCTTTATCACTGGCTTTGGTGCTGCTTTGGTTAAAATAAAGTGGAGTCGACTCGGAGTCGAGCATCACTACCATTTGGCCTCGCCATGGGGGCGGCGCCGTCTCCAGGGAGAGGGGCGGGGCCTATTTAAACAGCGGTTCACTGGAGGGGGGGGCGGAATTTGAGCCAGCCGTGCGGTTAGAGTGCTGAGCGAGCGGAGAGAGTCTGAGCGGCTCTGACTGGGAGATTAAACTCTACAGAAAGTAAGTAAACCTGAATATTTCATAATATTCAGTTTAAACGCTGAGATGTTTATCTGTGTGAAGGCTACACGGTGTGACATGTACGAAGATCACCAGTTAAGGTGGAACGGACAGTTCCCCACGGCGTTTGTGTTTGAGCTGTGTAGGAGGCATACTAACTATTCATTGGAAGTGGTGCTGAGTGTGAAGTAAGACTGGGTCTGTCCTCCTACACCGTCTCTGAGAAGAAGCAGGAGAAGTTAATCAGTGAATTTGTGCTGAAATCAGTGATATTGAGTCAGTAGATTTCCTCTAACTTCCTTTCTCATGGGGGCCTCATCATGTTTTACTCTGAATGCCATTTGTAACAGGTGAAAAGTTGAAGTTGGAGTGGTCAGCTAAATTAAAAGTTTATTTTAATGGCTCTAGGTAGAGGATTGATGTCTCTGGACCGTTTGAAAATTGAATTAAGAACGATTTTTATGCTCTAAACAGAGAGTTTGCCATACTGGGCTTTGGTAGACGACCTCAGAAGACTATAATTGAAGGGAACACAAAATTAGACACGTTTGAACATCTTAAAGCCATCAGTCTTTATTTTCTAGCTGAGCTTCTGTGTGTGGCCTGGTCGTGTTTCACTTGAAATGTCGCTGAAAAGCTGAAATAACCCCTTGATGTCCATCTGAAATGTTATGCGCAAAGAAATGTTTGAAATTGGTCAAACCACATGGCTAAAAGGTGAGTTTTTAATTAACTTTTGTATTAAATCTAGCCTTTTGGTCACCTTTTCAATCAAAACAACAAATTCTTAATCTTGTAAAATAAATTAAAAAAAAATAAATAAAAAAAATAAATAAATATTGTGCTCTAAATAAGGAGTTTTCACCTTTTGGTTGATATTTTTATGCACTAAATACAGAGATCACATACAGGGCCTCCTGTAAAATACATTATCAGAACAGTTGGAGGGGAAGTCAACAGATTTTTCAAAATTTGCACACAGTTGAATGGTTGAGATGTAATCAAAGTCATTCAGAGTGGTTTGGTGTGAAACGCTCTGTTCTAGATAAACTTACCGTGTCAGAACTGTTCACAGTGGTGGTGATAGGAATCAGACGTCCACCTCTAAAAGCTCCCTCACAGAAAGTTCCTACAGTAAATGGTTATGAATTCACTGCCTGATGACTGACACTGACACTGTTTTATGATAGTTTAGAGAACTTAAACTCCATTCATGGTGGAGGGATACATGCAGGGCACTGTGAGGCAAAATAGTCCCCAAAGAAAACTGATTATTTCAGATTTTCCACTATTTTGCATCATCAACATTCATATAAACTCAGAAGACTTTGAAGTAAATAAAATGGGTAGGCAAATTTCTCTGAATGACTCTTGGAAATTATGAAAATTGACATGGAAATTACATGGAAATTATG